ATCCTCATCATCCTCATCCTCATCATCATCATCATCAGCATCATCATCATCATTGTCATCCTGTTTGTAGGGTTGAGAGTGTAGAATGAATCCACCATGTTTGTTGTTTAAATGACATAACCAGTTACCAGGTACGGCTCGCGTATGAAGAACCTCTTGCTAGGATTGATCCTGTGGATCCAACCCATGGCAGATAAGCACCCATTTTGGTGGTTGTTGCTGCTTGATAACCCATTAATGAAGCTGTATTGTGGATTCCACATTACCAAAAAATAGTAATCCCGCTCAAAGCCAATTTACTGTAGGTAACACCTTTATTACATCAATGGGTATCATCTGTTTTCAGAGAAAACCCCATTTGAGGTTCCCCGCTGTCTCTTCAGCTACCGCCAGTGCAGCAGCCTGCATGGCAGCCTGACCACTCGACGCCAAAACGGGTTACAAAACCTGAAGAGGGGATTGAATGGATTCTTGCATCATGAAATATGCGTATTATAAACCCTGGAGAGGTGGATTGTAATAAAGCCTGAAAAAAGGGGAAAAGTTTGGAATTGACATGTTCTTCTCTACTCAATGGAGAAAACAATGGATTGGTGAGAAAATGTCGTGGCAAACCATTGTTTTACTCAACGGTTTACATGTTCCCTTCATCCAGTTCGGGGACCCAACCAAACTGGGAAAAGTGATCCACGCTGCTGGCGTATTTACCAACATTCACCCCGAAAATGCACCAGTTGTGTACGTAGATATGCCAGCACCATTTGGGAATGGTTGGAAATCCAGCTAGCCCCAAATCATTCAAATGAGACCATTCTAGTATTGAAACCCACGGTTTTGGGGATCCCACACTTTCAGATCCCCATATCTATCATTGAGAAGCAGCGCATTGTGGTTGGGTCTTCCACTTCCCTACATGTTGTACATGTCGACTCCAACTTGGCCCAGCCAGTTACATCTCACTGAATAGTCGGCTTGCAACCCATAGATACCATAGTTATAACTAGCCACTGAGAAAGAGGGTGCAATCCCGCAGCGCATTATGTGTGTTGCTAAAAATCCCATCTCACGGGTTCCACATTTCCACCATATCCACCGGGTATTGCAGTTATAAATACCAGAAACGTATCGTTTGGGGGCCTTTTCTGCGGGAATCCAAGACTTACTTTCGTTACACATCACTGGTCACCATTTCCTGTGTCCATTTTTCGATCCACCTAGGATCTGAATCCTTGGTTTCTGTTCAATTAAACTATTCCCAAAGGTTTCGCAGATTCCAAGATTTTCCCTCCATGGATAAACAGATTTTGGGCCAGGCGGCCTGTTCGAGGAGTTTCCCCTTCAGCCGATGGTCATGGATCTTTTCAACCTGTACGTCTCGGGAACGTCGGGAACGTCGGGCGTGTTGTGACACCCAAATCATGAGGAGAGTGATGATATAGCATCAAATTTCACGGGGCAAATTTTCAGACACCCCCATAATCCACCTGGGAAAACATTCACGCCATGTATTTTCCACTTGGTTTTCCGTGGGAAAGCAATGAAAAGTGGTCAAACCTGGCGTTTGTTTTTAGCACTTGGAATCTTCGACCAACCATTCGTAACCACTGAGACGTCATGTGGTTGTTGGAAATAAACGAGCAGACCTACAGTGCCTACATGGGGTTCCCTACATGGCCACTCAATGCACAGATTGATGGATGATGCATGCAGACTTGGTTGGCCTTAGAAACCAGAGGCCCGGGGCCAACCCCCTCATCACCAAAAATTGAAGGACTTGAAAAGACCAAAGCGTACCACATAAAAGGAAAAAAAAACATGCAAAATCTACCAGATCCTTGTTAAAAAGGTGCCTATTGTCGTAAAATAACATCAGAATCTGCGGCTTGCAGGGAATGTAGCAATGGTAGTCAGGTAACGCGTCAGAATCCACCACTTCCTCTCACTCGGATCCTCCAATTGGTATCTGGTGAATAGCCATAGCTAGTACACCCCGTACTACTAAAAGTGGTGGCTTAACCCTGTCAATCTGCTGTCCCATCTGCTGGTGTATTTTGACCCCTTGCAAAGAACTTCTGGTTCAATGCTCCAGGTTTCTTAGTACATCCCCATGTTTGATCAGTTGATGGTTAAAGACACCGTGTTTCAACAGATCCACTTCGTTCCCCGGCAACTTCCATCTCTTTTTGACCCTGCAAGCACTGCAAGCGCCCGGCCCAATCAGGGCGACACGAGCTCCCGCAGGCCTGACTCTCCTCACATCCTCTCTGAGCACCAAACAAGTCCAAGATATCCGGCTTGAAAACATGTTGACCCCGCCATTATAAGGATTTCACACACCAAAAATTCGGTGTTCACTGGATGTCAATTATAATAGTATATAGTGCGCATCCACAATAAACAAGGGTTCCTGAGAGCGAATTGCCCACCAGCAAGCAGCAATAAGGGTTTATTTGGTTATTTACTATCTATTCTTGCTTTAGGTCACCAAAATCGGGGCTTGGTTGAATTCCCATGAAAACAAGTCCTATTCCAATCAAGTACCAATGGTTGAATACACACAACCAATCTACGCCTGATCCCAGCCGGTTGCGCTCAACACATCTGCGATCAAAAATGTCTTCATGGGTGTCACTTCTCATATGATTAATGTTGGATCAAACGTTTGAAAACGAAAAAACGAAACGATGCTTACCAAGTGCAGTCCTAGTTTGAATAATTGATTTGTTCTTTGACAATGATGATGACGACGACGACGACGATAACATGATGATGACGATGATTCAACTCCCTCTTTTGATGGTCACATCCCCATAGACACTTGGTCTCAGATCGCTTCAGCCATCAGCCTCTCGTTTGAGAGACAAACAAAACATGCGCTCGCCAGAGGTCGGCGTTCTTAATTAGCTCGAAAGCTGTAGCCGACTGCGCCCGCAATTCGCTTCAAACATGTCCAGGAATACAAGGCTTCATGACTCTGGCGATTTCTGGAACTTGGGTTGTCCGAAAATGGGGTATCCCTCTGGCAGAATGTTTGATCATTCTTTTCCCGTTGGAAGAGTTGAGGCATTCCCCAACTTTTGGACAAAACCGTTGCGACATGCTGAAGCGAAGGGTACATGTTTGCAGGCTGTCGGGACGAAACGCAGTGATGAAAGCTGTGCAGATGTTGCATGTCAGGACAAATCTCGAGGAAATTAAAAACCATGACGGTATACAAAAAAATACGGGTTTAAAGAAACAATATGATTTCGCTTCATCAGATATACATCTGCAAGTTATTGATGATCATATAATATATTATAGAATTTATACATAATCCATGTATTCCATACATTCCATGTAATCCGTATAATCCATAAAATCCATATAATGTAATCCATATATTCCATGATTATTCCCATCCAAGAATGGTGGCGAATGGCCATGTCTTGACCAGCAAATCCTGTGACTTTGGCCATGTCCACCTGCTATGCCGTTCCCGCAAATCGTACCGCAAAATGTGATCGTTCCACGCAAAAAAGAAAAAGAAATTCCTTGGTTGAAGGGAAGTTGCAGGAAACCATGGTGTTGACCCTAAAATATTCATATTTAATCATATTTACATCTATTAAAAAAAATGGATTACTCCCCACTTTTCTAGATCATCGATCTCCAGCCTTCGAGATACAGCCAAGTAAAACGATCCTCATAAGGTCATCCAGGCCCTATTAATGTGTGGATAGTGTCTACAGCAATATTCAAACAGAAAACATACTGTGGAAACATACTGGATAGGATTTGCGTGTGTATTCATGTGCAAATGATTAAAATCGCCCGGTATAGTTTCGAATGAACATTGGCTGGTTTGCCACATTGGACACCAAAAAAGTCTGATCCAAACATCGGGGAGCTCGATCACATCGGGTGCGCCGCGCCAACTGTCGTACGATACCCTGCCGCGCCAACTGCGCCAACTGTGGCCCTGGTCAAAAGCCGAGAGCTGCGGCCATCCCGCGGGCCACATCAGGCTCTTAGTGTTTTGTGAATGTCTTCAGAGGAATGTCAACTGATGATTTTTTGGAGTTTATGAACTTGAAGAACTTGGTAAATTTTCATACGTCCTTGTGTTTAAGTGGCTCTTGAATCCTAGAGAACAATGGAGCCGATGCACAAGTGGGAGCAGAGCCCTTTATGTGTTTTTTCTGGAAGTTGTTCCTTCACCCCAAACATTTCAGAGGGAGGAATTCCCAAATAAAGTCAATATCAGCGTGAGGTCGCATATAAATCTAACACTTCTATCGCTGGCCAGACTGTACATACAACCAACAAAAGCGAGAATCAACCAAATGGCAATGGGTATGTGACCGACAGTAATATATGACCAATGACCTTAGGAATACAACCAAAAAACTGTGACATCCAGGCGATCCCGGTACATTATGAATATGATATAATATTGTACATATAATATTAAATACGTATACATATCTATATATATATATATATGTATGTATGTGTGTGTGGATAGATTCACTGGCTTCAAATAAGCATATTTTGGGATAGTTGCCCCTACCAACGATCATTCCCGTGACGCCGCAGTGAGGTCGTTGTGATTTATGTATATATATATGTATGTATGTATCTATCTATCTATCTATCTATGGTCGTACGTACGTACGTATATATAGAGTCATCCTAGTAGATAGAATATGGAAATGTCCAAAACTTCTCACTAAAATGAGAATATGTTTGAGACTCCCATATTCTATCTACTCCAGGATGACTATAACAAAAAAAAATGAAAAAAATGTGCGTTAATGCGTTTGTCTATTTGTTTTGTTGCTTTGTCTGAGAATCGGGTACCTCCAAACTCAAAACCCCATGGTTTATCATCCTGTATGAGAAGGGTCATACAGCCAATGGGGGTGTCTGCTTACCCGCGGTTATCCCCTATGTTCAGTGTTCAGATGTGTATATATATATACACACACATACACATATACATATACATGTATGTACATCCACATACCTGCATATACCACACATATCTCATGTGTCCTGATTCAAACGGCGCTCAGTCGGGCATCACGAAAGGCTTCTGCACTTCCTTCACCGCCGCACGCCACTGCGCAGCGAGAACCGCACCACCGAAATCCTCGGTGAAGCGTTGCCAAAAGAGGGGGTGTACGGCCAGGTAGTAGGATGACAATCTAGTTGTAACTGGTGCGATTTTACTCGCATACGATTCCTGGGTTGAACCGTCAAGTATACATGGCGAGGTTTTCTTTGATGTAAAAAAAGTGGGACTTTTGAGTTTTGAGTCGACAAAGCTTATAGACTCAGGTGAATGGGCAGTTGAACCGACAGAAACAGGGATTTGGCCAACAATAATGAAGAGCAAACTAACCAAAATGGATCAAGATAAGGGGGGTTCGACCAACGCAACCAACGGAAATGGGGACTTAACGAACAAATACAGGGATTGCACGCCAAAACATTGGGATCATTTGCGAGTCTTGGTGGCTTCTGACCCTTGGAGAGGTTACATCACCAACAATTGGGATATCATTTGTACATATCCCTAAGATATCACCATGGTATCTCCATATGTTATTGATTAAAAAAAAAAACACCATTCTGAGTCATTCAGATCGCAAGCTTCGGCAGCCGGCGAAACATCATGTCACATCACCATTTCCGCCACGCGAAAAACAGCATGGTTTTTTGGGGGCTATCGCCATCCATCCCACCAATTATAACTACTGTAGTATATAATTATATATATACCATCTGGTTATTTACCATAGCCATGGAAAATCCCTTATAAATGGAGGTTTCTAGCTGGGAAAATCATCTATTTGTATGGACCATGGCTTCCATAGCTATGTTAGTCATAACCAGAGGGTATAGTAACTTTGCATCCCTAACATGGATTGATCACCATCCCTATATTGAACTTATAGATTTATATATCCCATGAAGTATTCCCGTGAACATCCCATTGACATCACCATAATTGCTTGTGGTTCAATCCAACTTTTGAACAATCAACATCCCATTACTCAATGGCCATTTCAGGAACCTAAATTGGAGGTACCTACCATATATAAGGTCTATATAAGGCCTATGTAAGGGAATATCCCCAGAAAATATCCCATTCATGACCCATTTTTGTGGCACAAGGAAGCAAAACTCCGCCCGCGCCTGCGCCTCTTTGGCGGTTTTGAAATCGTTGGCCAACTTCTCCTGCGCCTTCCGCGCCTTCCTCGGGACAGGTGATACCACAGGATGGCTGGTTCTGGTGATGGGATGCGTATATATTATAAGTGGCGAATTGAAAGTATGAACAAATAACTATAACCGAAATGGCAGATGTTATGGTGGTATGTCTTTACTGGTAAAATGAACTGATTAATCATAAGCATGAGCATTGGACCGTATAACTAACTATGAAAATAGCTGTGAATGTCAAGGATTGACCATAACTACTAGCTACAATGATGGATAACGCATGACCATAAACACGGACCATAAGCATGAAAATTATATGACAAGATTGTCCATTGGACCGCAAGATGGAACAAATTGGTAGAATTATATGTTGTGGAGACAGATTTGGGGAAGTCTAACTCGGAATTTTGGGCATATGATGATAATATTTGGGATATTATGCGGGATATAATAATGGTGATATTTTCCCAAGGGGAATATACATATATATATATACATAATGTTGGTATTGGTGACGTTCTATGGGATATGATTGATATATATATATATGATCAATATCATGTTTGGATGTGTGGATGTGTCTAAAAACGGGGTGTACCCCCAAGAAAACAAAATGCTATGTTCAGGGGGAAAATAATGATGAACCATGGGCAGTCGAGGTGCATATTGGACCAAGGAGAAAAATATGTGTTTCTGTTCTTTTTTTGGTTCTCTGGTTGCAACACTGTTCCATGGAAAGATGGAAAGGTGACGACGATTTGGATATGGGTCACGGTCAACTCTTGCCCCAAGACTAGATGATTTTTCACCCAAAAATGGCAAGTCCGACCCAGTAGTAGTCCCCTGGGTCTTACATTTTGACCATGTCAATCCCAATAAACCCTGGCTGATGAATCAATGCCATTACCTTCAAAAAGTGATCACTGCCATTGAGTACCAACCAGAGGTCGTCCATTCAACCTGGGTCCCTCACACCATTAGAGTAGGCCTGGTTTCCCCGGTTTCCCCCAAGGGGGAGTCAACACTAGTCCTAGCTTCTTCGCATCACGGAAGGACCCGGAAACCATGGCTAAATAGCGGTTTTAACCATCAAAAACGATTATGGTAGGTAAGTTGGTTTAAAATTTGAAACTAGGTTGGCTCAGATTTACAATGGATATGGCTGAATGGGTATAATAAACAGCCTTGGAACTTGGGAGCAACGAACCTTGTAATCAAAATCCTCCATTCTCACCCATCTATAGCAGAAATGGTGATGTTCAATTGCAAAGGGTATATAGGCCCTTGAAAGTTGGGAAAATTAAATTTGACGCTACTTGGATAGCAAAAAAGTAAGTGGTTCCATAAGCTACATAATGAGCATAGTTTACCCATGGTAGACATCCTACTAATCTTTGTTCGATGCGTTTGGCTGAAAAGTATGGATCCTCCGGGATGGAGCACCTGGGGAGAAGCTCTTGGGCGTCCCATATGGCGCAGCTTTCTCGAATCCCACTACAGAACTTGGGAAAATTCAACCGTTTCTAAGGTGCTTGGAGGTTACGATGGCTTAAAAGGTGATGGGTAACTACAACTTGTGCTAGATGTATCTATAGATTTTTTTGGCTTCTCGCTATAAACAAATGGGAATAACTGGGGGGCCAGGCACGGTATAATAGAACTTAAATTTGAATCCATTTCCAACATTTTGCGGCAAAGTACTAAAATCTATCGACTTTTGACGTTTATTGTAGCTTACGCTCTGGCAATCAAACATCTCTAGCTGGAGAATCCCTATTTAGATCAATTTTCCCTCCTATGAAAAATCGCCACAGATGGTGATAACCACTATGTTCACTTCCACTATATTGTGGTTGGTGATGAAACAGATTTCCATTTCCGAGGTTTAGTGAAATGTATTGTAGTAACCCCCCCAAAAGGATTCAGAAAAGATTTAGTCTACCACTAAATTAAAAGTTGAATATTCCTTTCGAACTATCCTTTTGGGGGTTGCTGTAGACGGACTCAATAATTGGACGATTCCATTATATCCCATTATTATATTCCCATTCATATCCCTCATATTATATATATACATACATATTTCAGGGAAATAACCATAGTTTAATATCCCATCAATATCCCAAGAGTAACATCCCATTAGATCCCATTAGTGCATAATATTCCATTTCCGCTAATTTGGTTAGCTATTACGCAACATTCATGGGGATAAAATATCCCATTAATCTGGGTAAATGATATTGCTTCACATACCTGAAATAAGGCTATTTTGCAATAGTTGCCTCTTTCTAACCATCATTCCAGTGACGTCGCACTGAGGTCGCTATAATTTATCATAGCTACCAACATGGCCATAGTATGTGTTGTTATATTCCTTGTATGTAATGTATGCACGCACGCACGCACCCACGCAGGTATGTATGTATGTATGTATGTATGTATGTATGTATGTATGTATGTATGTATGTATGTATGTATGCCAGTATGTATGTCAGTATGTATGTCAGTATGTATGTCAGTATGCATGTCAGTATGTATGTCAGTATGTATGTCTGTATGTATGTCATGTATGTATATCAGTATGTATGTCATGTATGTCATGTATGTCATGTACGTCATGTATGTCATGTATGTCATGTATGTCATGTATGCCATGTATGTCATGTATGTCATGTATGTCATGTATGTCATGTATGTCATGTATGTCATGTATGTCATGTATGTCATGTATGCCATGTATGACATGTATGCCATGTATGCCATGTATGTCATGTATGTCATGTATGTCATGTATGCCATGTATGTCATGTATGTCATGTATGTCATGTATGTCATGTATGCCATGTATGTCATGTATGTCATGTATGTCATGTATGTCATGTATGTCATGTATGTCATGTATGTCATGTATGTCATGTATGTCATGTATGTCATGTATGTCATGTATGTCATGTATGACATGTATGACATGTATGTCATGTATGTCATGTATGCCATGTCTGTCATGTATGTCATGTATGTCATGTATGCCATGTATGTCATGTATGTCATGTATGCCATGTATGCCATGTATGTCATGTATGTCATGTATGTCATGTATGTCATGTATGTCATGTATGTCATGTATGTCATGTATGTTGTGTATGTCATGTATGTCATGTATGTCATGTATGTCATGTATGTCATGTATGTCATGCATGTCATGCATGTCATGCATGCCATGCATGTCATGCATGCCATGCATGTCATGTATGTACTGTATCTACTGTATCTACTGTATCTACTTTATCTACTGTATCTACTGTACCTACTGTATCTACTGTATCTACTGTATCTACTGTATCTACTGTATCTACTGTATGTACTGTATGTAATTTGTATGTAATTTGTATGTAATGTGTATGTAATGTGTATGTAATGTGTATGTAATGTATATGTAATGTATATGTAATGTATATGTAATGTATATGTAATGTATATGTAATGTATATGTAATGTATATGTAATGTATATGTAATGTATATGTAATGTATGTAATGTATGTAATGTAATGCAATGCAATGTAATTTAATGTATGTAATGCAGTGCAATGCAATGTAATGTAATTTAATGTATGTAATGCATGCATGCATGCATGCATGTATGTGTGTATGTATCATTATGTATCATTATGCACCCCCTATTGCGTCCACAATCATATCCCAGTATATCACCATTCTTGGTTCAGTCACCACTATTATTGTAGTGTAACCAATATAATCATATCCTGATATATCCCACTATTAATGATACATAATGATATCAATGATACCTGGTTGAGTCACCACTATGATTGTACCTTCAACAAAAATGGGAGCCCACATCCTCCAGGTCGAGAATCAGCAACGCCGCTTTGCGGAGTTCCTGTACCTCGCCGATGTGTTTTACGCTTCGCTAAACGGTGGTTAGGACGTCGAGCGAAACGCAACTCCCCGAGTTGCGAAATGAAGAAGACATACGAAATACTGGGAAAAATATGGGGAAAAAGCATGAAAAGGCCATGTTCATGGGAAAATCATTGGAAAATATGGAGAAAATATTGAAAAATTGCCACTTTAATGTGAAAAATTATGGGAATCTAGTAGAAAATATGGGAAAATCATCTGTAAATGGAGGTTTACAGCTGGAAAAAGTATCAAGTGAGCAGTCTCCAAAAAGGTATGTGTTGATCCACCAGTTAGGATGGAAGCGATTAGCAGCTCCCACAGAAATTGATTTCTATACAGCTACGGCTCAAACTTATTGGACCACAAGAAAACGGGTGAAAATCATCAAAATGATCAATGTTGTCATATGAGCCATGGTCAATACTCACTATATGATTGATGGTCATCCCATCCATAATAAGGATCCTTATAATGGTTATTATAAATCCCTATGAACCATTGGATGACTAGCCCTATTAATGGTTATTAACCATGAGTATTGACCATAGCTCATATGTTGTCCGCCAATTTTGAGCCATAGCAATTTTTCAGTAACCCATTTTCGCCCTGCCCAAGTGTTGTTTCTCCCGGAGTGCCTCTTTCAAGGCTTCGCGCAAAGGTTGCAACTCTAAATCTAGTCCTGGTGCGGCTAACCACAACATTTTCGAAAGGGCTCCTGCCCAATCCACTGGGGAAATCTTGGGAGTATGAAATTCCTCCAATTTGTTGACCTTTGGATTGTAATTCTAGCTTAATGAGCCCCAAGTATGAGCCATCCCAACATTGAAATTGGGTGCCCTCTGGTAAACATTCACAGTTTGCTATTGAAGCCATGGCCATTGTTTTATAGTGAGTTTTCCCAGCAACATGGTGGATCTTTCTGAGGCTATGCGGCTATACCCCAATTTTTCAGACGATGTTTTCCATGCCCTCATGGGTATTGGCATCACCAGACTGGTGAAAAACCACATTCGATCCAACATGGCAATGGCAAATCCTCTTTCGGAGGTTTCGGTCGCTGAAAATGATCAATGGATATCAATGGTGGATTTCCATGACACCAGTGTTTGATGACACGAGGGAGGGCATATAAATGAATGATTCTGTAATAAGCTAGTGATTGCGGAGACATTTCGTACCATGGTGAACACCGTGAACACGTGGGATAGTTCACCCCCGGAATCAGCCCGGGAATTCCTGGGGTGAACTAAGCAGGTGACCCATCGACCCAACTTACAACTTGGGGCGGAGCCTACACTCTCACCCTCAGCAATCGCATTTTTCCTGGGCCGGACCCTGCAACTGACAAGAAATGGTCCAAGAGTGGGGGTACAAAACCAGCCAAAATGCCGATACAATGGGGACAGGATTGGGATATAATAGGAATATGATGGGGATGTGATGGAATACACGGGGGTAAATTTTAAACAGAGCCAACAACATGCTATCGGGTTGTCTCAAACTGGGGACCTCCCACCTATGCCCATCACAAAGTAGGGAACAGGATCTTGTGTTTTCCTAGATGAGATAGATAAATAGATAGATGGATTAGATCAAGATTAAGATTAATATTAAGATTAAGATCAGATTAGATAGATAGGATAAGATAGATAGACAGACAAACAGACAGATAGATAGATATACCTGGGTTTGTCTGAAGAGAGGATGTCCCAAAATGTCATGGTGAATCATCATTGTCACCGTGTTTTTTAAGTGCCATAAATTGGGTGTGCCATAATTTGGCCCCGGTCTCGGATTTGGCCCCGAAGCGACCCGGAGACCTTCGGAGACCCGGCCAGGGCCCAGGGCGTTCCACTTGGCGCATGTTGTGTCTACATCACGATTGTGGAATGTATCCCCTAAACCATGTATACTGAGTATACTGAGTATACTGTATACCCTCTGGATCCAGTAAGTTAGTAGTTTTCTATGGAAGCCACAGGCCGTAGATGATGTACCTATTGATTGAGTGATTTTCCAGAGGATACCTTGGGACGAGGATTTCCCCCGCTGGTGCCATGGTCGTGGTCAAGTTACATGGGATAGGCATAGGATATGGTATCCATCATTTTCATGAGATGGGGATGGGTCAAAACCCTATCCCCCTGGTGAACATCAAAATAGCTGGTAAATGGATGTTCATCCCCCTAAGAATGGTATGTATAGGTATTGATCCATAGCCAGATTGCTTTCATATAGAATAGGTATACCAAAAAATGACATGAAAATGGTGGGATGACCACTTTTTTAGTTAGGAAATGAGCCACCATGTAATTTGACCATGGAAATCTTTAGCCACGGCCCACGGTTCCACAATACCATCGTGTTCACCGTTTCCAAGCTTCAGTACCCAGCCATCACGGCTCTGCGCCAGCTCGTGCATAGTGGCAAGAAGCCGTTCTCCTGAGAACAAAATGCAGAGCCGTTGGTACTGGCCATAGCGATATAGAAGGGAAAATGATGATTGGTTAGCCAGCCATGGTCATATAATGGGGATATGATGGAGATATACTGCAATGGATAGATAACAGTATACAATGGGGATAACAATAAAAATGATGACTACCGATTACCCTGTGGCTTTAGGGGTACCATGTACCATATCCCTATTTTTGATCATATCATCATATCATACAGACAGGGGCCCCGAAGATGGCTAAGTTGGTTTACAACTCTAATAATTGGAGAGCTGGCCGCTGTGGGAGTGCTCTCCCACAGTGGCCTGTTCTGGATAATTAGGACTTGTGTTGGATGGCTTTATAGTTAGTGGGGAGGCACCACATTGTAGTTATTTTTGATATAGTGGATAGTATATAGTCGGGACATTACAATGATATGAGGATATGACGAAAGCTCGTGCCATGTGAGGATGTGATTATCTCATTGGGTTCACCCTAGATGGTGATCAAGTTAAATCGTGGTGAAACTCTGGTTTTTTACCTCGATAGATGATGCTTCTGGAAGCATAAACCGGTGTAATTGCAAAAAAGATTGAAAAACACCACTCACTCTGCTTCTAATCAAGTATATTATGTATAATATATATATATACACGCATACATGTGTATATATACAGGGGTGTCTATCTTTCTAAACTGACCTGCTAAGTAGGATCGGATGAAACACACGAGTATGCTGTCAATGCCATGGCCAACTGGTTACAGCACCTCGTGGTGAACCTCATGGGAGAGCACCACTGGGGGCAGCCCCCTCAATGCTGATGCATCCAGGGCGTATAACTGGTTACTGTAAGGTAGAATTATTGGATATTATAATTATTCTATAGTTAATATCCAATGTATAATCTGATGATATATCCAATTATTGAATATAACCATTTTGAATTATACTAATTTAACACAGTTTGATTCCTGGAAATGTTCCAATCACTTGGTCAGATTATATATATATATACATACATTCCAAATTTCCATATTCTTGGTTATATCCCCATTATATCTACAAAAAACAAACACTATCATCTTTTATTTCACCGTACCAAACATACCAAGCCCTTTTTCAACCGAGCGTCTGATCTCTTTCGCCTTGTTGGCAGCTTCTTCCTGGTCAGGTCACGTCCCAAAAAATGTCGGATGTTAAGAAATTGTGAAGTGTCAATTTACAGTACTTGCAGGGGGCAAAAATTTGTTGGCATTAAATTCTTGAATTGTCTATCTATCTATCTATCTATCTATCTATCTATCCATCTATCCATCTATCCATCTATCCATCTATCCATCGATCCATCGATCCATCTATCCATCTATCCATCTATCCATCTATCCATCTATCCATCTCCATCTATCCATCTATCCATCTATCCATCTATCCATCTATCCATCTGTCCATCTATCCATCTATCCATGTATCCATCTATTCATCTATCCATTGATCTATCTATCCATCCATCCATCCATCCACCTATCTATCTATCTATCTATCTATCTATCTATCTCTCTATCTCTCTATCTCTCTATCTCTCTATCTCTCTATCTCTCTATCTCTCTATCTCTCTATCTATCTATCTATCTATCCTATCCTATCCTAATCTATCCTATCCTATCCTATCCTATCCATCTATCTATCTATCTAATATAATATTATATATATATATATATGCACTGTGAACCCTTGTGAAGGGTCCCTGAAACACCAGTTTGGAGTGATTGAGGTGAGAAGACTTGAGAAGAGTTTAGACGAGGTGAGATCATGAGATGAGCTGAGAAGAGGTGAGATGAGTTCAGCAGAGGTTAGAAGACGTGGGAGGAGTTGAGAAGAGGTGGCAAGAGGTGAGAAAAGCCGAGACGAGTTGAGAAGAGCTGAGAAGAGATGGGCAGCGGTGAGATTCGTTGAGAAGAGTTGAGAAGAGTTGGGAAGAGGTGAAAAGAGGTGAGCTGAGGTGGGAAGAAATGAAAAAAAATGAGAACAGCTGAGAAAGGTTGTGAGAATTGAGAAGAGCTGAGAAGTGGGGGCCACAGTTGAAAAGGGGTGAGGCAAGGTGAGGACGAATTCAGAGAACAGAGGTTCGATGACGTGAGGCCTCACTCCAACTCCTTTCGGCAAAACTTGTCTTTCGATCCTATAGTACAACATTCCTTGCTGCTGGAAACTTCCGCCACCCGCCTGGCGCGGGTTCTACTCGTATTTTCACTCAAGAAGACTGGAGAAAGAGAAAAACGCTGACCTCCACCAACGAAATAACGTCTCAAAACGGTCACCGCCTCCTGTTGCTTCTTTCTTTTGGCTTCCTCAATTTTTCGCTCCTCGTCCCTTTTAACCTGGCTGGAGATGCCATGGAATTCATGAAAAAAAGAACTGGCTGGTTGTGGTAGGAGCTCCTGGTTTCCTGGAATATCTGAGAGTTCTGGGACCAGAAAAATATAGTTGAACGAAATAAGACACTTCCGAACTTCAGTCCAGCTGACATGTTTGAAGGAAATCCCAAGAAATGAGGTCCATCACTGGCTTGGTTTAATGGAATTGTCTATTGGAAACCATAGTTTCTACCATGGTTTTTACCACCAAAGATGGGGTTGTCTGTTAAGGTCGCACAGTCTGAATATTGTGACATCCGGCGCTGAAAAAGTCTAAATACAGATGCATAAAACACAACTTGCAATATGCGCCAGCGTTTAATCTTCATTTTCCGTTATCAAACAGCCATTTGGTGGTTTCCTAAAATGGGGGTACCCCCAAATCATCCACTTTAATAGGGTTTCCATTACAAACCATCCGTTTTGGGGAACCCCACTTATGGAAACCTCCATTTGGGACATTTGGGAGGGCCCAAAATGGTGGTACCCCAATCCCATCCACCGATGCGCCTCCTCTTCGCGACGCTTCTTCTCCTCGACGACACGTCTTTCTTCCTCCTCTTTGCGCGTCTTCTCTTCTTGGATCCGGCGTTCCTGGTCGAAATGCCACCGGCGCCCGGGCAAACCAATGTGTAATCAGAGAAGGCCATGGGTCAGTGGGTTCCTACCAGCTGTTGAAAACTCGTGGTGGAATCGCCCTTCGGAGTCTCGGAATCTAATGCTGGAAAACTGGCGGGGGGAATGTCTAACCAATCATTTCCACAAAATTCAACGGATTCGTTTCAACCCGCCCCTTTAGGTTAACAATTCTGTGCTAAGGACTCCATGGAAATCCGTGGATGAACATTATAAGTAAGCAAGCAAACAAGCAAGCAAGCAAGCAAGTAAGCAAGCAAGCAAGCAAGCAAGCAAGTAAGTAAGAAAGTAAGAAAGTAAGTAACTAACTAACTAACTAACTAACTAACGAACGAACGAACGAACTAACTCGAACTAACTAACGAACTAACTAACGAACTAACTAACGAACTAACTAACGAACTAACTAACGAACTAACTAACAAAGTAACAACTAAGCAACCAAGTAACTAAGTAACTAAGTAACTAAGCAAGCAAGCAAGCAAGCAAGCAAGCAAGCAAGCAAGCAAGCAAGCAAGCAAGCAAGTAAGTAAGTAAGTGAGCAAGTAAGGAAGTAAGGAAGTAAGGAAGTAAGTAGGAGAATAAGTAAGTAAGTAAGAAAGTAAGTAATTAAGTAAATAAACAAATAAGTAAGAAAGTAAAAAAGTAAGTACGTAAATAAGTAAGTAAGCAAGTAAGCAAGAAAGAAAGTAAGGAAGTTAAGGAAGTTAAGTAAGTAAGAAAGGAAGTAAGTAAATAGATAAGTAAGTAGGTAAATGAGAAGGTAAGTACATAAATAAGTAAGTAAGTAAGTCAGTAAGTAAGTAAGTAAGTACGTAAGTAGGTAAGTTAAGTAAGTAAGCAAGTTAGAAAGAAAGCAAGGAAGTTAAGGAAGTTAAGTAAGTAAGTAAGTAAGTAAATAAATAAGTAAGTAGGCAAATAAGAAAGTATTACGTAAATAAGAAAGTAAATACGTAAGTAGGTAAGTTAAGTTAAGTTAAGTTAAGTAAGTAAGTAAGTAGGTGAGTAAGTAGGTGAGTAAGTAGGTGAGTAAGTAAGTAAGTAAGTAAGTAAGTAACTAAGTAACTAAGTAACTAAGTAACTAAGTAACTAAGTAACTAAGTAACTAAGTAAGTAAGTACGTAAGTAAGTAAGTAAGTAAGTAACTAAGTAAGTAAGTAAGTAAGTAAGTAAGTAAAGTAAGTAAAGTAAGTAACTAAGTAACTAAGTAACTAAGTAACTAAGTAACTAAGTAACTAAGTAACTAAGTAACTAAGTAACTAAGTAATTAAGTAACTAAGTAACTAAGTAAGTAAGTAAGTAAGAAAGTAAGAAAGAAAGAAAGAAAGAGAGTAAGAAAGTAAGAAAGAGAGTAAGAAAGTAAGAAAGAAAGAGAGTAAGAAAGTAAGAAAGTAAGAAAGTAAGTTCAGGAAGCTAAGAAAGTTAAGGAAGTTGAGGAAGTTAAATAAGTTAAGTAAGTTAAGTAAAGTAAGTAAAGTGAGTAAAATAAAGTAAAGTAAAGTAAGGAAGGAAGGAAGTAAGGAAGTAAGGGAGTCAGGAAGTGAGGAAGTGAGGAAGCAAGCTTCCTAAGCAAGCAAGCACTTTACAGTAAGCCACTATTTCCATTCATTGAATGCTGATGCATCCCAAATATCCCAAAGATTGCTTGGTGAAAACCGGACCCCTGGTGGACTGTATTGGATCTATTCATTTTAGAACCCTTCTGAAGTGGGTATATATTCATATCAGCCACGTTTTTTTGTTCCCACGTCAGGATGGTGGCTACACCATGTAAAAACCCCAATTGATGATAGCTCTACATGTAAAAAAAAACATATCACTTTAATATGATAAGCAAAGCAATCTAGGTATTTGGGAGAAATGATATGTGTCATGTCCAAAATACTGTATGTGGTATGGTCATCCATTCCATGATTATATCATTATGGAAACTGCTGACGAATCATCACATCAAGGAGTAACTGGCTAGGAAGTGGGTTACTAACCCAGTCATAACTAGGATAACCAAGTGACCAACCAGTTTCTGTACGATTGGGATAATCCTCCAATTGGTTAAAAACCCAAAATTACTGGGGTATATTATCCAATATCTACTAGAGCACTTAAGGACTATGGAATCAATATTCCATAGTGTATAATATTCCATTCTTAGGTTCCACTTGACAATAATAGCTTGATAGCTTTCATTATGGATTATCAGAATCCCCAATAAATTAGGTAGTATAACTCCCAGCAAATGGTAGTGGGGATTAAGACAAATTATACATTACCATGGTTATTGGCCAAATGGGAAAAAATGACATAATCCCCAACAAATGAGGGTATTGTTAACCAATGGATTATCATATTCCCTGTGGGTTACCAATTAGGTTTCCCTATGAATTATCATCCCCAATAAATCAGCTAGTATAACCCATAGGTAATAAATTGTTTCATTGGTTCATTAGGGGTCAATCCCCCAAAGATTGGTTGAAAAATACCCAACAAGATCATGTCCCCTTCAAAATTAAATATCGGGATTTTCTCTATGGATTCTCACAGCATTTCATAAAAATTCACCAAAACAACCGAAGAAATTCACCAATCCCGGCCATTTTCCCAAGAAATCAGTCCTGCTCCTTTCGTCGCTGCTCCTCCGCCTTGCGGCGCTGCTGCTCCGCCACGCGTGCCGCTTCACGGCGCGCCGCCTCGAACGAGGGGAAACGTGAAAGGCGGCTTCTTGGTGGCGAAAAAATTGTGAACAAATTGTGACAAAAAAACATATTTCATCAGGGAAAATTGGATTTGAACCATCAAAACTGTGGATTACAACCAGTAACATTGTGATTTGATTTAACCGACAAGAACGAGATTTGTTGGTGCAAAAACTGGAATTGAAGCGGTGAGCAGCAAGAGAAGGGGAATCTGCAGGACGAAACTATGCATTTCAAAAACCAAAAAAATCTGGGTTCGCCCAGCACTCAGTGGCGTTCAAATCATGCAAACAGTTCAAAATTGTGGGTTGAACCCCTGAGTAAACTCCTTTTTTGGAGCATACTTATTTCCCTCCAAATAGAAACATTGGATATTGTAACGGAGTGTGGTTTATTAATACTTTTGGTTTATTAATTCTTGTTTCCAAATGATGTTGAAAAATTGTTGAAATGACAATCCAGCAACCAAGACGGCCTCTTCCTTCTGCCTTTCCTCCTCTTGTCTTCGCATCTCCTGACATGGCGCACGCACGGCCCCCCTGGTTTCACTGGGTTAATTTTGTTGGTAAAATCTACAGGAAAGCATGGTTTTACAAAGATTGGGTGGTTCTTGCAAAATATCCTTTCAATTCGTGAAATGTAGTAGTTACCCTTCTGGTTTGCATGGCCTAATGCTCCAGTATCAGTAGTCACCCAAGCACCCAAAACTCAACTGGGTCAAATCGTATGGGTTCAGGTCTGTAAAATCGGTGGGATCACTGACTTTGGGTTCGAAAATGCTCGAAAATTGCCTTTTGCAATGACATAGAAGGCAGTGCCTGCCTGGCAGGATTTCTCATGATTGCATTACATAATTAAGGTTTATGTTGCAGTGGTCTCAAGGCCAAGCTTACGATGGCCGAAATTTCAACGCGGATCTATCTCGACTGCCTTATTTCTTTGCGATTCGGCAGGTTTCCAAAGCTCTTGAAATCCCTTCAGCTATCCAAACCCCCACAAGGAAAGCTTCACAGCCCATTTGGCTGTGGATCAACAAAACCCTGGTACCTTTCTGCGAACGCATAGCTGGGCCCCCTAGGATGTGGTGAGATTGTTGTGAGGTCGCTGTGATCTTCCCAGTTCTAGATGAAAAACCATTGGTTTCGCTGGAAGTTGGGCCCGTATTCAACATATGTTTTTTTCTGTTTTTTATCCCAAGTTAGTAATGATTTAACCCCACACAAATATGGGAACATCATAGAAAATTCACTCTTGAACCAATCCCCATATGGATCCCCGACCTGAATATTCCAAGAATTTCAAGGCCATGGGACCCCCCTCACCTCGAGCTCTTCGCGGAGCTTCTGAGCCAAGTCATCATCCACCTTCTGCCTCAAGGTCCCATTTGAGTCTTCTTTTTATGGCTTAAACATGTGAATTTTACCAGCAAAATGGTGAAATCATGGGTACATAGTTGGCATATAACTTGGAATTTTGGGGTTTATATGCATACATACATACAATACAATACAATGCAACACAATACAATACAATACAATAACATAACAAACCATACCATACCATACCATACATACCATACATACCATACATACCATACATACCATACATACCATACATACCATACATGCCATACATGCCATTACACAAACAAAACCTTAACACAGAGGAGTTTTTACAGACAGAAGCTGGTATGCAAAGAAACGTTCACAAACAGAAACTTTTTTACACAGAGGACGTTTTACACAGAAGCCTTTACACACAGAAACTTTTACACCAAAAACCTTTACACAGAGAAGTTTTTACCCACAGAAGCTTTTATATACAGAAACTTTTATGCAAAGAGGCTCTTGTACAGAGAAGTCTTTACCCATCTTTCATCATGTCTCCTTTTTAATGATCATTCACCATGTGTCACCTTAATATCTTTGTTTTCATGCTCCTTTGGTCAACTCCTCCGTCGTTTAGTTTTCATGTCGCACGGTGTTCTGTCCGTCCACGCTTCGCCCTCGCTCCCTCTGCGGCGAAGAAAACTAAACGAGAACGCAGAAATAAATAGCGACTAGAAAGGTGGGATAGAGCTGATTACATTAGCAGAAGCAGCGACTAGAAGAATGTAGACGTAGCTGACACAGCATGCTTTGGTGAATTGTGGCCCCTGATACCATCAGTGCGCGCGATGTTTCAGTAAAGATCTTACGTCGATTTCGTGCAGAGCACAGCTGCCCACACCACAAGATTTTCAAAAAGAGGCGTGCTGTGTTCCGTCTTGCTTTTGGGTTCTCTGGCCCACCTTGTGCTTTTTTAATACTGTTCACTTGGAAACGTGCTTCGCACCACAGTGGCGTGCACTTTTCGGTTGGAAATGTGCTTTGTGCCACAACGGCTTGCACTTTTTAAACATCTCAACTACCAAAAGGAGCTGAAGCGTCTTATACATTTTGACTTGCAAATGCGCTTCGTGCCACAACGGCGTGCACTTTTGCAACATCTCAACTTTCAAAAGTGCTCCGAACATGTGGTGTTTTTACCATTTCGCTTCGATATGTGCTTCGCGCCACTACGGCGTGCACGTTTTCGACATCTGAACTTCCAAAAGTGCTCCGACACTGAGGTGCTTTTAGCATTTTTAAACACTGGAAAAACAGTGTGTTTCGCGACTTTGCTACCTTTTCGCGCACCTTGATCTTCTTTCTACTGGTACTACTGACTCTTTCTCTTCTGACTTCTTCTCTTCTGACTCTTTCTCTTCTCTGACTGCTGTCATCTCTGCTTTTCCATCTGTCCATTTTGTCGGATGTTTGACTTCCAAACTGCCTTCGACCAGTATAGATATCAATGGAAAATCCCGCGGTATTCCCATTCTTCCCCATTGTACTCCCATGATTGACCATCACTTATCACTGTAAGCATTGTTCACCATGATCAATCATTAAAGCGACCTTCTTCCATTCTGTCCCCATATTTTGTTGGTTAATGATGGTTCTTTCTCCAATGTATTCCCATAATACTAGAATGTATCTTGCCTGTACCCTCCGGTAATCAAACATGGCAATGAAAAACCCACCAATTAGCGCGATGATTTTCCCAGCTATAAACCTCTATTCGTAGGGAAATTCCCAGCCAGCTATGTTTGATTACCGGAGGGTACATCCCATGCCCATCATCTACCCATCATAGTGGTTGATATACCACTATTGGTAAGAAAAACATTAGATCTCAACTATATCATATTTATATGGTGTATGTATGTGTATATATATATATAATCATACATTATTCATCCATATATAACAACCCCTCCACAACCGGTGACTTCTCTGCTTGAGCCGCTTTCGCAATCTCCGTTCCTTCAGCTTTCGGCCAATCAGCAAGCGTTGGGCCTTCGCTTTGGGCGAGGCTATACCCTCTGGTAATTTGTTCCATTGCAAACCGTAAAATCCCTATTTTGACTAGAAATCATCGAACTACATGGCCCCTTTTCCATGGCTATGCTAAATTTACTGGAGGGTACCCCCAAAACTGTCCCCAACCGCCGCCCCCAGTAGAAGCCATTTGGGGGAGCTCTCATTGCCATCGCGTATAAAGACCAACCATCTTGTGAGGATATGGTGGAATGTAGTGGGATATAGCGGGATATAATGGTATATGATGAGATAGTTAAGGGGAGAATCCCAGCAGCAAGATCGCTTCCAACGAATATTTAAGCCAAGGTGTAGGTCCCGTAGGTACAGAAATTGCGGGAAAACATTGTCTCTATTGATCCATGTCCAACATGTGCCATCATTTGGCTTCGGATCAAGACCCTATCAGATTATCGGTACCCTCGTCGTTTATATATATATATAGCTGCTTGTTATGAACTTCATCCCAAAAAAACGCTGGCCCCATCCCCTTTGCATTACCCCGAAATTTCTGCAGGCCTCCTCGTCATCCTTGTAGATGTAGAAGAAGGAGTCTAACTCTTTCACCAACTTCAACCGACACTCCTTAGTCTTCGCCGAGATTTTCAGACGTTTTGGAACGCTGGACTTCGCAGTCGGAACAAGAAATTTTACTCTTCAAGCAGGCCCCAGAGGCCCAAAGGGACAAATAAAATAGCTCCAGAAATCTCCTGAAGCCAAAAGTTAGGTGGTCCGATCTGCTTTTATCTCGCCATTTGACCAGCTGGGTATGGACCATTTGGGCCAAATCAGAGACCCAGGAAACCCACAGATGAGCTTTATATGTTCAGCCGTGAAGCATCCCATCTTTTGGGGTGTATCAAATTTGCCTACTGCTCACCCCAGGTATTGTTACTAGACGATCACCCTACTTACCTCCGAGAGGTACGTTTTGCTGGCGAACCTAAAAAATATTTCAATTTGGTGGGTTGAAAAATGTTTTTTTTCATTCATCTGTGTCAAGCCGTCCTTCGTTAAAAGCTCCAAGTTTTGTTCAAAACAACATCCCATCGTTTCCCAGGGTCCGCATCGCTCATCTCGGGGCGATCCATCTTCGCTGTCAGCGGCTGATGGGGCGTCTTGGGCCGATGCCTTGGAAAATTCAACGGTGGAAACACCAGCAGTTGCAGACAGAATCCCAACTTGCAACAGAAAAATGATGAAAATTCAGGAAGACATAAAATAAACTCAGGGGCTATCCCCAACAGCTTGAAAGCTTCTCGTTTTTGCCATGAAAAGTGCCTCTGCCATGAAAATTAATCGCTTATGCCATAATTAAATTCACTTTTAATTGTTTCTCAGACATGTTAACCAGCCGTTTGGGGTTTATTAATCCAGCATTATTCTTGTCCCAAAAAGTGTTCCATTGCTATTTTCACAAAAACCCTCAAATATCCCAAATGAAACACGTTTTTGGTAAATCCCAGTTCAATCCATCTTTTCCCAGTTAAAGCTCCCCGTTCTCGCCAATGAAATCCTTATGTCTGGTGCTTAAATCGAAAATTGACCCCAATTGACCTGGTTTCTGGCCGAAACTTCGGATTTTTGCACCAAAAACGTCACTGATCCCATCATCCTATCATTTTTCCAGGCGGCACATCGGGTGAAGCAATCCGCGAGCATGGCGTCGTGCGGCCCGGAGAGGTGGGGCACTCGGCAAAGTCTGCGAAGCTGTCGCCCCTGGCGCGCAAGCAGTGGTTTTCAGAGCGCGTTTTGACCGATTGTACCCTCTGGTAAACTAACGTAACTATGGAAAATCACCATTTTTAATGGGAAAATCCACTATAAATGGCAATTTTCAATAGCTATGTTAGTTTACCAGAGGGTAAGCATCAAAAGCATCAAAGATACTGATGTTAACCATGAAAAGTCTGATTTGAGCAGCAAAAAATAAGCACCTCATGGGTGGCGGCGCGCGATCCAACAGGCCAAAGCCCGGCAAGTCGCCAGCAGGGATCTCCACGTAACTCGGAAGCATCTCCTGCCAGATTCAGCCGAGAATGTGGGATTTACCATGGATTTAGCCATGGAAAAATGGGGGGTTAAGCAACAGAAACAAGGATTCAGCCAATAAAAATTCAGGAACTCAGAAAAGTGGGATAAAACCAACGGAGATGGTGATTTCACCATATTTCACCCAGAAAAATTTGGAAGCCAACAGAAATGATGATCAATCCAATAAACTTGGTGATTCACCAACAAGAACGGGGAACTTCATGGTGTGTGTATATACATATATCGTAAACAACATCATAGACATCATGTCTAGGGGGATACAAAAAACAACAAATCTTGTTATGATTTCTATGGGACATTTCTATGGGCCCAAAAACAACAAAAACAACTGGGCCAAAGATGGGGACCCAGGGAGGCCTCACCTAGAGCTTTGGAGTGAACCAGGAATAAGCCAAAGAAAACAAAAAAAAATGGAAATAAATAGCCAGTAAAACTCATGAATTAAGCTAACAGAGTTGGGGAGTTGAATATGCAAAAATCTCTGTTCGACGGGATTGAAGCAGAACTGACCAAAAGACATTGGAACAAACCATCAATGACATGACTGACATGAAGTAAGAAATATGTGAAATAATCTGCGTTTGCCTCGAAATGGGGATGCTCCATTCTAATTTTTGTTTGTGGGAAATGATGATAAAGCCTGCGGTGTTTTGGGGCACTCAATTTTGAAACATACCCACTACATCCCACTACACTAAAGGGATTGAACAACAGATGGAATGAGAAGACCGTATCACCAATCCTCCCAAGCCAAAGAGACGAGAACAGGGTCAACAATGGGCTACCGTGTATAACCATATACAAAGTGTAAGTGGATTAGTTCGCCCCAGTTAAAACCACTCTTGTCACTATCATCCCATATAATATACCAGTTGTATATGACATATAGTTAATCCCATATAATCCCATATAATCCCATATAATCCCATATAATCCATATAATCCATATCCGCCGACCCCGGCCTTCGCCAAGGCAGGGGCGGCGCCTGGGACCACCGCAGGTGTGGAACTTGTCTTTCTTAGCAACAGGCATCCCAAGGCCACATCCATGGCTTTTTATGGGTGTCCAAGCTTGCCGTTTGCCAGCCTTAAAACGCTCCAAACCGCTACAACCCCTCCAAGTCCACTTCTATGGCTTCTTATGGGCTTCCAGCGCAGGCAAAAGCTACCCCAAGGCCAGATCCATTGCTGTTTCTGGGCGGTCCAGCGTGCCGTTCGCCAGGCATTCGCAGCCAACGGGCATCCGAAGGCCACTTCAATGGCTTCTTCTGGGCTTCCAGCGGCTTCCAAGCTTGCCGTTTGCCAAGCCTAAAACCCTCCAAACCTCTAAAACCCCTAAAAGGCCACTTCAATGGCTTCTTATGGGCTTCCAGCGCACGCAAAAGCCCACATCCATGGCTTTTTATGGGCGTCCAAGCTTGCCAAACCCCTAAAAGGCCACTTCAATGGCTTCTTATGGGCTTCCAGCGCAGGCAAAAGCCCACATCCATGGCTTTTTATGGGCGTCCAAGCTTGCCGTTTGCCAGGCCTAAAACGCTCCAAACCCTCCAAACCCCTAAAACCCCTAAAAGGCCACTTCAATGGCTTCTTATAGGCTTCCAGCGCCCACATCCATGGCTTTTTATGGGCGTCCAAGCTTGCCGTTTGCCAGGCCTAAAACCCTCCAAACCCCAAACCCCTAAAACCCCTAAAAGGCCACTTCAATGGCTTCTTATGGGCTTCCAGCGCAGGCAAAAGCCCACATCCATCACTTTTTATGGGCGTCCAAGCTTGCCGTTTGCCAGGCCTAGAACCCTCCATATGGGCTTCCAGCGCAGGCAAAAGCCCACATCCATCACTTTTTATGGGCGTCCAAGCTTGCCGTTTGCCAGGCCTAGAACCCTCCAAACCCCTAAAAAGCCACTTCAATGGCTTCTTATGGGCTTCCAGCGCAGGCAAAAGCCCACATCCATGGCTTTTTATGGGCGTCCAAGCTTGCCGTTTGCCAGGCCTAAAACGCTCCAAACCCTCCAAACCCTCCAAACCCCTAAAACCCCTAAAAGGCCACTTCAATGGCTTCTTATAGGCTTCCAGCGCCCACATCCATGGCTTTTTATGGGCGTCCAAGATTGCCGTTTGCCAGGCCTAAAACGCTCCAAACCCTCCAAACCCCTAAAACCCCTAAAAGGCCACTTCAATGGCTTCTTATAGGCTTCCAGCGCCCACATCCATGCTTTTTATGGGCGTCCAAGCTTGCCGTTTGCCAGGCCTAAAACGCTCCAAACCCCTAAAACCCCTAAAAGGCAACTTCAATGGCTTCTTATAGGCTTCCAGCGCCCACATCCATGGCTTTTTATGGGCGTCCAAGCTTGCCGTTTGCCAGGCCTAAAACCCTCCAAACCCCAAACCCCTAAAACCCCTAAAAGGCCACTTCAATGGCTTCTTATGGGCTTCCAGCGCAGGCAAAAGCCCACATCCATCACTTTTTATGGGCGTCCAAGCTTGCCGTTTGCCAGGCCTAGAACCCTCCATATGGGCTTCCAGCGCAGGCAAAAGCCCACATCCATCACTTTTTATGGGCGTCCAAGCTTGCCGTTTGCCAGGCCTAGAACCCTCCAAACCCCTAAAAAGCCACTTCAATGGCTTCTTATGGGCTTCCAGCGCAGGCAAAAGCCCACATCCATGGCTTTTTATGGGCGTCCAAGCTTGCCGTTTGCCAGGCCTAAAACGCTCCAAACCCTCCAAACCCTCCAAACCCCTAAAACCCCTAAAAGGCCACTTCAATAGCTTCTTATAGGCTTCCCAGCGCAGGCAAAAGCCCACATCCATGGCTTTTTCTGGGCGTCCAAGCTTGCCGTTTGCCAAAACGCTCCAAACCCTCCAAACCCCTAAAACCCCTAAAAGGCCACTTCAATGGCTTCTTATAGGCTTCCAGCGCCCACATCCATTGCTTTTTATGGGCGTCCAAGCTTGCCGTTTGCCAGGCCTAAAACGCTCCAAACCCTCCAAACCCCTAAAACCCCTAAAAGGCAACTTCTATGGCTTCTTATAGCCTTCCAGCGCCCACATCCATGGCTTTTTATGGGCGTCCAAGCTTGCCGTTTGCCAGGCCTAAAACCCTCCAAACCCCAAACCCCTAAAACCACTAAAAGGCCACTTCAATGGCTTCTTATGGGCTTCCAGCGCAGGCAAAAGCCCACATCCATGGCTTTTTCTGGGTGTCCAAGCTTGCCGTTTGCCAGGCCTAGAACCCTCCAAACCCCTAAAAAGCCACTTCAATGCCTTCTTATGGGCTTCCAGCGCAGGCAAAAGCCCACATCCATGGCTTTTTCTGGGCGTCCAAGCTTGCCGCTTGCCAGGCCTCAAACGCTCCAAACCCTCCAAACCCTCCAAACCCCTAAAAGGCCACTTCAATGGCTTCTTATAGGCTTCCAGCGCCCACATCCATGGCTTTTTATGGGCGTCCAAGCTTGCCGTTTGCCAGGCCTAAAACGCTCCAAACCCTCCAAACCCCTAAAAGGCCACTTCCATGGCTTCTTATAGGCTTCCAGCGCCCACATCCATGGCTTTTTATTGGCGTCCAAGCTTGCCGTTTGCCAGGCCTAAAACCCTCCAAACCCCAAACCCCTAAAACCCCTAAAAGGCCACTTCAATGGCTTCTTATGGGCTTCCAGCGCAGGCAAAAGCCCACATCCATGGCTTTTTCTGGGCGTCCAAGCTTGCCGTTTGCCAGGCCTAGAACCCTCCAACCCGTAAAACCCCTAAAAGGCCACTTCAATGGCTTCTTATGGGCTTCCAGCGCAGGCAAAAGCCCACATCCATGGCTTTTTATGGGCGTCCAAGCTTGCCGTTTGCGAGGCCTAAAACCCTCCCTAAAACCCCTAAAAGGCCACTTCGGCGGTCCAGCGTGCCATTGGCCAGGCATTCGCAACCAACAGGCATCAGGCATCAGGCGTTCAAGCCTGCCGTTTACTACTTTTTTTCTTCACAACGCCGTCCTTGACAGAAAACTTGTTCCCACACACCGTTCGATGGTCAATTTGCCCTGTCTTCACGTCACTGGCCACATTCCCTTTGCAAGCGGGGCAAACGTAAACATACGCTTTTTCCTGCACAACGCCATCCTTCACAGAAAACTGCTTCCCACACACTGTTCGATGGTTTATTTTCCCTGTCTTCACGTCACTGGCCACATTCCCTTTGCACGCGGGGCAAACGTACACATACCCTTTCGCAACGACCTGCGCGTCCCACACCTGGAAACGGTTACCGCATGCGCGCCGGTGATTTACCTGGCCCGTCCGTATACTGCTCCTCACAGACTTTTTGCAAGCGGGACAAACATATCGGAAACTCTTGCCTTTCCTCGCTGTTTTGACTTCATCTGCCAGCAACGTCACCGTCTCCGTCGCGCTGCCCTTGCTCTGCTGCTTGCAGCTCATTTCTGCCTGCCTGTCTGTGCTTCTTTCCGTTCTGCCGTCTTCTCTACGTTGCTTTGCTTGCGGCTGGGCTTCCTGCATTTGGGCGGTGTCCTTTGTTTTCCGTTTTCGTTCCACGCTGGCCCAGACATCAGTCGTCGCCCGCACCGCCCTCTGCCTTTCGTCGCTGTCTTCCCGTTGGCCATGTCCATCTTCAGGCCCGTCTGTGCTCACTTCTGTTCGGTTCTCTTGTTTGGGATGCTTTGCCTTCGGCTCTGCGTCCTTCATTTCGGAGCTCTCCTGTTCTCTGTTGCGTTTTCTTTCCGCGATGGCGTCCCAGACACCGGCGATGGCACGTACTTTTTTTTCTTCCGCTGCCGTCCTCGCGAATTTTGCCTGCGTTGCAGCTACCCGCTGTACCGCTTTGCTGGTGCTTCTCCGGGGAATGGGGCACTTCCAGCAGTTGCTACAGACTTGGTCACCATTACAAGAACGATGTTGCGCCAGCCACGGTTCAAAAGCGCACGCTGCTTGCTTCACCTTGCAGACGCTGCATCTCCACAGGCCCCATGCTTTACCCGAACAATCTAAACACACTCTACCGCCCGTGCGTGCTCGTCTCCACGCCCCGGCAGAATATTTCTTTTCGTCCTTGCGCGTATTGCAAACACTACACACTTGCGTCTGTTCGCACGTCGCACAAATGCGATAAAATGTGGCTTGTGGGGTTGCATGTTTTGCGTTGAATGCATCTTCCTGTTTCCAGGCCATGCATGCCATGCATTGCCACGGCATCTGCCTCTCAACGTGCCGACGAATGCATTCTTTGCATACTCTCGCCGCATCTGTGCGTTTCCATCGACCAGCCGTGAATGCAGAAGCCGGCTTTGATTCATTACATTCTTTGCATTCCCTTTCGTCTCGGTACTTCGCTCGCAGCGCGCTCCAATCCATTTTTTCACCACCCCAGAACCGCAACAGCAATTCCCGCCCTATTTTTGCGCCTTTTTGAAAAGGTGCTGCAGGAAACGGTCTGTACACAAACAAACCATGCCTGTCTTGGACCCGCGTTAACGCAATGTAAGCTGTCAATGGGTCGCCTGCTTCCCCAATGTGCATGTCCATGACAACGCCTTCTTTGCAAGTTTGCCCTTGGGCTGCGTGAGCGGTGGTTGCAAACCCTGGAGCCAATGGAAACTGCTTCCGCGTCACACGGAGAACTGGCCGCCTTCGCCCCTTGTCCAAATACCACGGTTTCTTTTGCGGCGCGACAGGAAACACATTGTCTTCGTCAATCCCCTCGACACGCCAGGTGGTCTTGGTCTTGAACCGGACCAAGATGCACGCCGGCAACTCGTTCCAAATCTGCGTCCCTTCTTCACGCGCGGCTCCGACGGCATCGGCCGGCCAAACCCAGCCAACAATCTCCCCAGCACACCCCCGTAAAATTCCACGGCTGCGATCCAAGTGATCTGCGGCAGCCACTGGCATACCAAGGCACAGTGGCAAAACACCGTACAAGGACCCACAGTCCTGATCGTGTCGCTGCAGCCAACTCAATTTTTCTTTGCCCAGATCGGGCTTCTCACGCAAAGCCATGCTTGATATTCTATCTTTTGCAATGGCATAGTGCAGCACCTGTCCTTTTTCTGCGGCCCAAGCTTTTGCTCGCAGTTTATTCACATGATACTTCACGGCATTTGTGGCGAAAATAGCTTTTGCACCGGCGAACTTCTCGGACGCCGCGGCGGCACTATCTGCAACTCTGGCCTTGGACCGGCGCTCGGTTCTGCACATGTCGCATTCCGACCGTGAGATAGCATCTGGCGCTGCTCTTCCCGAGAGCAACTTTTGGCACGTGGCGTGGTTGCACTCTAGTCTGTGGCCGTTCCAGCTGCCAGGTACGCGCGTGTGACAGCCATGCAAAAATGCGTGGTTCGTCTCGGACAACGCGCCGTTTCGTACTTCGTTTTGTAGGCTCTGCAACCATATATCTTGGGTACGCTTGCACTCGACCAGTTCTGTCACACCATGGATTCCATCCGAGGTTTCGCCCCAGACTAACTCCTGCCCGCGGATGGTATGGGCTACTTTCTTCGTTTTGCATTGCGTCAACCATTCCCATGGGACATCTCCCAAAAAGGTTCCACGTGGCGGTGGCAGCTGCCACATATCGCCTGCCAGAATAACGTTCAACCCTCCAAAGGGACGTGCATATGCCGCATCCTTTGCGTACTTGCCTTGGGCGAGATCGCGGACCAGCTCTCGGCAACGCAACTCTAACCGGGCCAAGAGCTCAGCGCTAACCATGCTGATTTCATCAATGATGAGCCATCGCCAGCGCAACGCTTTGGCGCTCAGGTCGAGGAGCTTGTGCCCGCTAATGCGCTCATCGCCAAGGCCTTGCCAATTCAAACCAAACGCGTGGTGGATAGTGTCGCCCTTCAAGTCATTGGCCATAACAGCCTGCAGTGTCACGACTTGGAATTCATCACCTTGCTTCCAGCCCAAATATCCTCAAACAATTCTTTCCGGAGACGATTCAATACATACGATTTCCCTGTACCGGGTCCACCATGCACAGCCCACCGCAATGGCTCTAGCACCCCAGCGTTTTCAGACAAGATCTCCTGCACGACTTGGCTTCTTTTATTCAAATTTGAGATCAACAGATCAACACTTAAAACACCTGCGCCCAAGCTTCAGTCCGCTTAGCGCCAAGCCACTTCAGACAAAGTTCGCTGCATTCTTGGGGACCAAAATGACTTCGGGCGTAAGTCGGCTAGGACGGGATACATGGTGGTTTTTACAAACCCTGGTTTTGTTGTGCAAACCCTGTGTTTCAAGTCACACCTGGCTTTTTTTTGCGTGTATGGTAGGTGAAGGTGTATATATATATGTGGGATCATGTGCTACATCATACTCCCCAGGTTGATTGCCAGTACCCCCTCCAATTAGGGGGGTCGGCGGCACCTGGGCGCTAGCCCATTTTATAATCCCATATAATCCCATAAAATCCTATATATATATATATATCAGTTAAAACCATATACCAATTCACCAATTTTGGTTTAGAAAAGCCATGAACCAATCCAGGGGATCTCTGGAACGGACTTTCCCCGTACCATTTCTCGCCCGGATCCTCCAGAGCGTCCAGCAAGCCGGTCTGGATCTCAAAGATGTACCTTCCAATATGGAGAATTCAAGATTTGTCTATATATATATATTAACACATACGTATATGGGATGGATAGATATATAGATAGAGACAGATAGAGACAGGTAGAGAGACAAATAGAGAGATAGATATAGAGATAGATATAAAGATAGATATAGAGATAGATATAAAGATAGATATAGAGATAGATATAGAGATAGACATAGAGATAGATATGGAAACAGATATAGAGATAGATAGGGATAGGGATAGGAGTAGGGACAGGGAGAGCGATAGATAGATAGATAGATAGAGATAGATAGAGATAGATAGAGATAGATAGAGATAGATAGAGATAGATAGAGATAGATAGAGATAGATAGAGATAGATAGAGATAGATAGAGATAGATAGAGATAGATAGAGATAGATAGAGATAGATAGAGATAGATAGAGATAGATAGAGATAGATAGAGATAGATAGAGATAGATAGAGATAGATAGAGATAGATAGAGATAGATAGAGATAGATAGCGATAGATAGCGATAGATAGAGATAGATAGAGATAGATAGAGATAGGTAGAGATAGGTAGAGATAGGTAGAGATAGGTAGAGATCGCGATAGAGATCGCGATAGAGATGGAGATGGAGATCGAGATGGAGATCGAGATCGAGATAGAGATAGATAGACAGATGGATAGATGGATAGACAGATGGATAGACAGATGGATAGACAGATGAATAAATAGGGATAGATAGATGGATGGATGGATTGATAGATTGATAGATAGACAGATAGATAGATCGATGGATAGAAAGATAGATAGGCAAAGATAAGAGACAATATCTGATAGATAATAGATTTAAATATTGTATCATGTGTATTTATATGTGTATATATATTACATTGTGCACATGGATATGCGTATGGATATGTATATGGATCTGGCCGGATATGGATAGATAATATAATAGAGAAATGGATATCTTAGGGAAACTCCATATCTTTGCCATGTTTCCTGCATTTTCCACACCGCTTAGTGTACCCTCTGGTAATCTAAAATACCAGAAAGTAGACTAGGCGGACCAAAGACTCCCAATTTTCGCTCAATTTTCGAAACCCAAAAAATGCACAACTTTCGTTCTGTCCACACTGGCTCAAAACTTCATGTCAAATTTCAATCTTGATCCACAACCATCCATGTTTGCTCAATTTCTTGGCATCTTCAAGTTTCTGCTGTTCGCATTCAATCAGGGTGTGCTGTGCCTGTGGACATTCCGGTCGGTGTTTTTCCGTCCCTTCAGCTAGCTGACGCAAGCAAAATCCACTGGTGAATTATCAGGTTCCACCAATTTTGAGACACACCCATCAAGCATAACAAAAAACATTAAAAAAAAAAAACACATCCAGGGCACTGCGTTTCCTGCCGTGGATCAGTCCAAGAAGAGACGCCCAGCTCGGAATTGGCAAAGTACTCACGGCCTTCCTCGTCCACATGGGGTCCGTGCCAGCCCTGTCGCATGTCGCATCGAAGTCTGGGGCGACAGGGGTCCGGGCCCCCCGCAGGTTGGATGTTGGTTTGATTTGTTTGTAACCCATGGCAGGGCCGATGTTGGAGGGAGATATTATGAAAAAACTGTGCAAATAGCGTATAGAGAGAGAAGAGGGAGAAAGGGAGGGAGGGAGAGAGAGAGAGTGAGAGAGAGAGAGAGACGTGTGTGTGTGTGTGTCTATGTCTAGATAGGTATCAATATCCATATCCATATATATATATATACACATTTATAAGTACATCGATATTTATCTATAATATCTTATATGTTTGTATATGTACATATATATATATCTACAGACATATGGGAACACAGCTACGCCCCAAGAAACGCATCAGGGCTGCACCTCGAGGTTTTGTTTGTGCAAAGCCCAGAGTGCCATCTTCCTCAAGGCGAGAGGCACGCAGCAACGACCCACAGTTCACCGGGTCGGTAACAAAAAAAACTGCAGAAAGGATGATTTAACCAGTCAAAATGGCGATTTAACCAGTCAAAAAGAAATGAGTTAACCAGTAAAAACGGTGACTTAACCAGTAAAAACGGTGATCTCACCTTGGGAAAAATGGGGTTGATCAAACCAAAATGGGACATGTGTCCTTAGCCGACAGGAATGGGGATTTCATGCAAAACGAGGATGTTCACCAACGCAGTGTCCATTATGTTGAGATATTTCCCCTGTTGCATTTTTCGGCCAGTGCCACATCTTGAGAGTTGTGGTGGTTGGATAAATCATGTGATATATACATGTATATATATATGCATATATGATATGTGTCTGTGTATATATATATATATACACATATGCGTCCGTGAATATAAGTATAACTATATATATATGTATATGTATGTATATATGTGTGTATGTATATGTATATATATGTATGTATGTATATGTATGTATATGTATGTATATTTATGTATATGTATGTATATGTATGTATATGTATGTATATGTATGTATATGTACGTATATGTATGTATATGTATGTATATGTATGTATTTGTATGTATATGTATGTATATGTATGTATATGTATATATGTATGTATATATATATATGTATGTATGTATGTATATATATATGTCTATGTATGTATGTATATGTGTGTGTATGTATATATATATGTATGTATATATCTATGCGTATGTATGTATACATATATATATATGTATGTATATGTATATATATACAGATAGATAAATACATACAAATATAAATGACAATATGCATATAAACAAATGTAGAGCTACAGATATAGATTTACATATGGGTAGAAAATGATATAAATAAACATATTGGTGTACAATATAAACATTTTTTAATATCCAGGAGCAGAGCCGGCTGTTCGGTGGCGAGCAGCTGTTCTTCGAAGTATCCATCAGACGGGGCCTCGAGCAGCTCTAAGCGGGGTGGCGACAATAATCCTATAATATTAATGTTAGTAAAGCAACAGAAAAAATAATGAGCCACCCATATTTTGATATATGTTGCTGGTTTGTAGCACCTATTTATGGTAAAATGTGGGGTTTACTATTGCTTTACTCACATTATAGTCTACAACAGTATTATGAAGCAATAATGCATTTACGGGGGCCGATTGATATGGTCAGGAGGTGCGATTATTAGAGGCTATTACATATGTATTTAAGCTACCTTCCGGAACTCGAACATCACAATAAAAAATCACTCATTCCCCACCTGCCAGGTGAGGGTTGTTAGATTTTATGTCAGTTGCCTCCTCGTCCTCCTTCTCCTCCTCCTCCTTCTCCTCCTCCTCCTCCGCCTCGTCCTGCCTCGTCCTCCTCTCCTCCTCCTCCTCGTCCTCCTCGTCGTCCTCGTCGTCCTTGCTCAACTGCGACTCGCGATCCACAGTGTTCTCTGCCGGACCTCAACCACGACCATCCACGCCCAGTGTTCCCTGCCGGACCTCAACCACGACCATCCACGCCCAGTGTTCCCTGCCGGACCTCAACCACGACCATCCGCGCCCAGTGTTCCCTGCCGGACCTCAACCACGACCATCCGCGCCCAGTGTTCCCTGCCGGACCTCAACCACGACCATCCGCGCCCAGTGTTCCCTGCCGGACCTCAACCGCGAGTATCCATGCCAAGTGTTCCCTGCCGGACCTCATGTAGGAATGTCAGATAGACTGCCAGATAGAATGCCAGATAGAATGTCAGATAGGATGCCAGATAGAATGCCAGATAGAATGCCAGAAAGAATGCCAGAAAGAATGCCAGATAGAATGCCAGATAGAATGTCAGATAGGATGCCAGATAGAATGCCAGATAGAATGCCAGAAAGAATGCCAGAAAGAAGATAGCCAGATAGACTGCCAGATAGAATGTCAGATAGAATGTCAGATATCATGCCAGATAGAATGCCAACATATATGCCAGAATATATGTCAGATAGAATGCCAAAATATATGTCAGATATAATGCCAGATAGAATGCCAGAATATATGCCAGAATATATGTCAGATAGAATGCCAGAATATATGTCAGATATAATGCCAGATAGAATGCCAACATATATGCCAGAATATATGTCAGATAGAATGCCAAAATATATGTCAGATATAATGCCAGATAGAATGCCAGAATATATGCCAGAATATATGTCAGATAGAATGCCAGAATATATGTCAGAATAAATGACAGGTAGAATGCCAGAATATATGTCAGATGAAATGTCAGAAAATATGTCAGATAGAATGCCAGATAGACTGCCAGATAGAACGCCAGGTGGAATGTCAGGATATATGCCAGATAGAATGCCAGAATATATGTCAGATAGGATGTCAGAATATACTAAATATATGTCCAAATATACGTCCTGACATGTCATGGTGGGGATCACACGAAGTAGAGTAATTTATAAATTGCGTAGCTATTGAAAACCCTGTTAATTTCCATTGAAGACCGTGTTTTTTGAGTACCGGAAAATCTACATACACCACATACACCACATATCGCATCAAACCTTTTCATCTGAGACAAGCGCCTGCAGGTAGCCTCTGCCAATGTCGATGACTGGCCGCAGGCAGTTGGTTAAGGGATTGTCCCAGGTGCTGCTTCCATCTTCCGAGTTCACGTAGAAAACGCCTCAATGTTTTGCCGTGCTGGGTCCGGATGTGTGAAGAAACGCACCTTTGTAGTTGGGGAACTCACTAATATGGGATAGCTGGATAGCTGTTGAATATGGCCACGAAGTGGGATGCAGATCCAAGTAAACTGCTTCATCTACTCTTGAAAAAGACCACATCTCTCAGCTACTAGTGGTTTGTTGTTTGTTTTGCGTGTTCTCAACATATGGGTTTTGTCTGAAAATAGGATATCCTGGAATTTGATGGTTGATCCGGTTGATCATCATTTTCCATTGAAATTGCCATTTGGGGAGTATACCAGTTGTACCAGTATACCCCATTTTCACACAAACCCGCATAGCAGTTTTCAGTAAAAAAGTGCATCGACCGATGCTAGATCCCGTCACTTCCCGTTGATCAACAATTGCACAGGTTGTCTACAGAAATCTATATAGATATATGCACATAAATGTAAATATAATTAATGTACAGTTGTCATATGTGTAAAAAAATATCTATTTAGATGTGTGTATACACATGCACATCTGTACAGTTTGATTTCTGATGCAATGTTGTATCCTGATTAGTAGCTAGGTTCGCTATTAAATTGTCCAAATTATTCAGGGCCCCGGCAATGTTTGGAAGGTTCACTATTGTGGCAAGAAATCTTGGGAGACCACTGTTAAAAAAAAAAAAAAATGTTTGAGTGAAAACAAAAATGTCATTTTTTTTGAAAAAAACGTGCTTGTCTGCCGTTCCCAAAAGAATCAGATCGCTTGTTAAAGTCTTACTAAAGAACAGTTTTTCCACAAATTTCCAAGGCACTGGGCCATGAGAGAGTCCAGTTCACTTTAGTATGTTTGTTCTCAGGGTTCACAATTGCAGCAATTTTTGCCAGAGTTGATCCTGGGGCCGAGAGAAGAAAGAAAAAACTGTTACAAATTTCTTTCTCTTTATCTTCCTCTTCCCCTTCCTCTTCCTCTTCCTGTTTCTCTTCTTCTTCCTCTTCCTCTTCCTCTTCCTCTTCTTTTTCCTTTTCCTCTTCCTCTTCCTCTCTCTCTCTTTCTCTTTCTCTTTCTCTCTTTCCCTTTCTCTTTTTCTTTCTCTTTCTCTTATTACACTTTGAATAAAAAACTTGAGGTGGAACAGGTAACGCAATCAACATGCAACAAGGTAATATACTTCAAGTACTACAAACATCACAAGCTCATCAGCAATAAAAAAGTTTTAATTAGATTCCAATTGTCCCCATTTGAAATCCTTACTTAAATGCGGGATCGTATTTTTTCTGGGGAGGAGTTTTTTGACACCCAACGTTAAAGAGAGTATAGAATAGCTATTGTCTGAGGGGGGGCCCTACACTGGACAAAACATGACAATGAGAGTTCTATGATTTTTTGCAGCCGCCAAGCTTCGACTACTGTTGGGATCCACGTGCACGGCCCATTTGGGGGGCAAGACGTCGCCCTGCAAGCCGTACTCAGCGATCCAACCAAAGTACAGATCCTGGATCGCCGAGTTGGCGGCTGAGTTGGGTGGGCTGGGAGAAATGGAGGCATTGCAGGATGATGGAAAAATAATGGCTACTGGTATGTTTAACAATTATCCGATAATAATAAATATCAGAATATGTTTATATCTACAATACTTAATGATAACTGTGATCTTCTGGGAATTACCAATAATGATAATAAGCATAACAATATCCGATAGTTGTGTACCGATAAGCGTGGCCATTTGGGGATGTATCCATCTTCATCCCTTTTAAGGAGCCCAAACGGTTGTGGCACCCGCCCCACAGACCGTGCTCCGCCCTGGGGAATTCATGTGGAATCATGGGGATTAGTAATCAATGATCAATGGAATTCCCATTAATAATAATGGAATTAATATCATAGAATCCCATTCGTATTCCTATTGGAATCAATTAATACTTATCATTGGAATCATGGAATCAATAATCATCTATCATGGGGATGATGATAAGTATTATTGATAGATGATTCTCTGTATATTTTCCGGGAATTTCCCATTGCCATAGATAAAAAGGCTAACCTGTGGCAGAAACCATTTGTGCACCCAGATGTCACATGGAAGCACGAAAAAAAATAGCCTTTTTGGTTGAACTTGCTTGTTGCCTCGAATAAATGTCATAATGTCATTACCCTCTGGTAATTTAACGTAGCTATTGAAAATGGCCATTTATAGTGAGTTTTCCCATGAAAAATGGTGATTTTCCATAGTTATGTTAGTTTACCAGAGGGTAATCAAATCTGGCAGTCCCATTTTCTTTCGAGGATCACATGATCGGGCTAGTTCCATCGCCAAGTCAGATTGCCCCCCTGGTGGATTTTTGTTTCCTCATCAGTTTCAGAAGGAGGCCTATCAAAAATGGCGACAAAAAATGCCTCGGCTGATTCCTTGGAAAACTGCACGATATGTCAAGGGTATGGCCGAAATATGCCGAAATCAACGCACTTGTTTAATCAGGCTTTTCCAGGCAGTCATTCTGGACTCTTCTGAGCTGCGCCACGCTCGTACCCCAGAAACTTCCATGGTTTCCTAATCCCCATGAAGATGTCCACCACCAACACGCATGATTCGGTGGGTTAGACTCAGCAAATCCAGGTGTCTGTCCCTTATTTTCTTCGGTGATTACACCTCTTGTTGCAGATTCATGTTATCTACATCGTGGCAAAAAGCTGGGCAAAGCTACATCCTATGGCTAACTGGATAGATACCCTGCAAAAAGAGTGTACTTAGCTGGCTAAGGACTGTTCACCCATGAATACGTTCAAGAGATAGACCCATACTTTCCGTTGGTACGAGTATATGGGTATGGGTCAAAATCATTGAGCCCAAAAAAATGGATCCGGATAAACTATAATTATATAATTTGCTATATATATATACTGAAAAGTTTAGCCATTTGGGGATTATTCCATTACTAACCATCATTCCGGTGACGTCGCGATGTGAGGTCATTACAATTCATCCAGATCTATCCCATGATATCCCCACCATAGACCCATCATAGCGCCATTTGTGTTGCTACCATTTTTCATTGTGAAAGCAAAGAAACATATCATCCTGTGTTGAATGGATAGCCATTAAACCACCATTTTTCATGGTATAACCATTCAGCAGATCACCCATTTTCCGCCTCAGCGGGATCAATCCCCAACTCCTGCATGAACTGTCCAGCCTGAGCACAGGCTATCGCCAGTCCCCCCATCTCCAACACCGGGAGGTGAAACCGCCGGTGTGGTAGGGGAGTAAACATGATCAAACCACATATTTGGGGATGGGATTCAGTGGTGCATGGAGTAAAAAAACCGAGTTATACGTGGGACAGCTCCGGCCGAGTTATATCAGTCTGAAAATAGGCCAGTTACCCCCAAAAAAAGCCATGTACTATATGTAAAATCGGGATTTTTAGCCATGGATTTTGATGAATAAAATGGGATTCCATTTTTCAAAACCAAAGCACAGCATCGGCTAAATAGGAAGCGCCATAGGCCGCTGGCACCTCCTGAGTCATGGTGGAAGCAGCGGTCATGGGTCATGGGGGGGGATGAATCGATAACCTGGTTGGTGGTATACCTACCCCTCTGAAAAATATGAGTCAATGGGAAGATTATCCCATATATGAAATGGAAAGTCATAATCCAGCCATGTTCCAAACCACCAAGCAGATAACTGATCGATTCGATCGGTGAGTTGGATCTTCATCGCTAGCTGGGGTAGCTTGCTAAAACCATGGCTGGAATGTCTCGGATCTCGGATCGGGGGCGCCCTGGCATGTTTCATAAAATGGGTAAGTGGCGATACCCTCTGGTAATTTGTTACATGGCTATTGAAAATGGCCCATTTATAGTTGATTTACCTATTAAAGATGGTAAATTTCCATAGCTATGTTAGTTTACCAGAGGGTAATGGATGATGAATCCGTAGAAACAAAAGAATGAGTGGATCAAGTCTTGTTGATCCATTTTTTTTCGTAGCTGGAAAAAACCATTACCTAGTGCAATATCCCACAAATCCAGCAGTTATAGTGATAAACCAACTTGATTCGATTAACGAGCTAAGTCACCACCAAATGGTGAAAAGTATATCCATCGCGTCCTGCGGCCATGCATAGTCTGCTCCCCAGGCAACCTGGAGCGGGGCAACAACCACAACTAGAACTATAACTCATAGCGGTTGATTCACTGTATTATATACTACTAATAGTGGATTATCACCACTCATATTATATGTATATATATATAGTTATATACTAATAATAGTGGATGATAATGAGTGATTGATGAAAACTATTGTTGATTCATACTTATGAACATGGGATAACTATCCCACTTATACCAATGTTCATAGTTACATCACAACAGCATCCCAATGTTCATAGTTACATCCCAGTTCAGAAGTCATCATTTATATATTCATTCAAACTTGGGATGTAACTATGAACATTGGGATGTAATTGATGTAATCATGAAAGTTGTGATATTGGGATCTAACCATCAAGAATTGGTGCTTTTAGCACAATAAAAGAATCGGTCAAAAATGCTGATTCAATCACAATAATTCGATCGAAACTGGGATTCGACCAACACGCTCTTGGATTGGACTGGTATGTCACCAAGATAAAGGCAATGGGGGTAGAAACCCAACAAAAACTAATGATTCAACCATGGGGATTTTGCTAGAAATTGGGGCTTGAACCAGCAAGAGTTGTGGGTCCCTGCAAAAACCGGGGCCCCGAGTTTAGAAGTTGGTTTATAACCCAATCTAACTACAGATATGTTCGTTTTGGACCTACTTATGCACCAACTTAGCTATCATTTGCGGGCCTTCCCTGTGCAAGACCGCCAAAAACAAGAATGCATACCTCATGATCTGATGTTTTCGTAATGATCACAACTGCTACGTAATGCTTTTACAAAGTGTACACAATCATGTCCGGCATGCTCGCGCTCAACCTGACATTCGCCTGCAATCCTCCAAGCTAGAAAATCTGAACTCCGGCAAATTTCTGGCATGACTTTTCTTGATGCTGCTATGTTAGGGATTGACATATATATATATACATATATATGTATATGTATATGTATATGTATATGTATATGTAATGTAATGTAATGTCATGTGACGTGATGCAATGTAATGTAATGTAATCTATGTGTGTATGGGTGTATGTGTGTATGTGTGAATGTATGTATATGTATGTATATATATATATATGTACATATATATATATATTTATACATACATATATATATGTATATATATATATATTTATTTATACATATATATATATACATACATATACATATACATATATGTATATATAAATATGTGTATGTACGTGTATATATATATATACATATTATACATATTATACATACCTATCTGATAGACCGCTTAGACTGCCTCAGATTCTACCGTCGCTGCCAACCAATCCGAGCACTTTTGTGAGATTCTCCTCACCCAGCTACAGATGTGCAGGGACTCCTTAGCTGGTTTGTGGTTTCAAAGCAGCTAGTCATTTTCCAATTAAACAAACCCCAGGCATAAATGGGCTACTAACCACTCAACAAACTATTTGATCATTTTGCCGCCAAACATCCGCCAAAATGGTTCGCAAACCCCATGGTTTTGCTAGATACATCAGTATTTTGTCCCCGTTTTGTTGGTCAAACCCTAAAAATTTTGCCGGATACCCTCTGGTTGTGACGGAAGCCATGGCCCATAGAAATAGATGGTGTACCTGGGTTTACCTATTAATAGCACGGTGGATCTTTCCATGGCAAACTGTGAATGTCATAACCAGATGGTAAATCCAATGTATCGCTGGTGAAAGCCGATCAAATCTGGTCAAATCTCAGCCCAGAAAAAGCGCCTGCGGCGCCTGAGGCTGCATCCACGCATGTTGGGACATGGCGAGGCCTGAGCCATGAGCAAAGCTGATGTTGGCCGGAAATTCCCATGGAATGCCATGGAATGCTGGGTGAGTTCACAAAGTTCACAAACACTCCCAGATCTCCCAGGATACAACACTGAATACAACCAATCAAGAATATTCCGAATGGCTCACATGGACGTGTATGTATAAATATATATATATATGGTTTTAGCTACGGTTTACAGTGCCCCATTTCCTTTGGTGATATAACCAATGGACGTGGAAACAAACAGGTATCAATAGATGCCGGGATATGAAAAATATATGTGGTTTTGTCCTAAATGTACATGGAATCAGCCAGGGGGGTTTAAAAACGCTTGGAGAAAAATCTAAGCTTTAAGGTGCAGGGGGCAAATACTTGGAGGAATACTTTCCAATATATTGATGTAAACAGACTGAAATCCTGTCCAAACATGTTTTTTATTTACATCCGGTTCATCATTGTGATAATGACCATCTTGCTATGTTATCATGAGGTATTGCTTTAAGTTAGAAAAAAAAGGAAAAAAGAAAACATAAATGCAGACTCTATTCAAACATCAGAGATGGTGATTTGCCCATTCATGATGGGGATGATAGGTTTTCTCTAGAAAATGTGTTCGTCATACCTGGTACAACATCACCCACAGCAATTGTGATACAATAATAAAAATTACATATACCCTCTATATATATATACATACCCCTAACTAAAATAGGCCCTGCCAAAATAGGAGCTTGGAAGACTACCTTCCTCCAAGTTATACAAAAAACTCAGGGAACCAATCGGTGAGTTGGGGGATGGTACAGCCGGAAGCACCTGGCATGTAGTAGGCATTGGGATCAAAGCCCACGGGCAGCATCGCTTGCGGTTGCATCAACATCCCTGGCCAAAGGTTTTTTCAGGCGGTAGAAGCAACAAACACGGGATTTGACAGACCCACCAATACGTATGTGTATATATATAATATGTATGTATGTATGTATGTATGTATGTATGTATGTATGTATGTATGTATGTATGTATGTATGTATGTATGTATGTATGTATGTATGTATGTATGTATGTATGTATGTATGTATGTATGTATGTATGTATGTATGTATGTATGTATGTATGTATGTATGTATGTATGTATGTATGTATGTATGTATGTATGTATGTATGTATGTATGTATGTATGTATGTATGTATGTATGTATGTATGTATGTATGTATGTATGTATGTATGTATGTATGTATGTATGTATGTATGTATGTATGTATGTATGTATATATAGAGAGAGAGAGTGTATATATATATACGTATATATAGTATGTATAGTGTAATACACACTGTACACGGGCATTCAACCAACTTGCTGTTTGAAGCAGGGTTTCCAAGAAGCTTTCCGTTTCGGAAAATCCCAAGCCGGTGTCAAAAAAATGCATGTCCAACACATAAAACCGATGAGTTCAAGCGTGTTCAAACCTACAGGACTGGCATCATATTGAATCATATGAGTCTCACAACTGGATACCAATGGCAATTTGAGACTGGGAAAATGATGATCAAAGAATTGGATTCTATGGGGCATCATGGGGTACCCAATTGTTGGACAAACCCAGATGTTTCATCGGTCCCTAGCATCCAGCATGTTGAAGAAACAACGGATGAGTATGAGACAGTTGTCTGAGAAATTTGCTGATTTTATGGACCATCATGAGACAATGAGAATAATCTCAGTAGATTTCCCCAATTGGTGAATTAATCAAAATCTTCAGCAAATCCAACTTGAAGGACTTCATATCCAGACTTCTTGACCAGTCACGAACCCCTCACCCAGCCTGACTGCTTGCAGAAACCGGACGCTGTGAAAAGGTCAAGTGCGCAAAACTATGCGCAACAGCATGCAGCTGTTGCAGTCTGCGGAGATTTGTTGGAGCTTCATCTATTCCAGCTCGGTCATGCTGGGTTTGGCAGTTCCCTCTTGCTCAAATTCATGGTTTTTGCAACCCCAACTGAGTATCTGTTGAGACCCCATTAACTTATCAAGGTGTCTATGGTTGAAGTTTCAGCTGTTCACGGGGCCATTGAACATGGCCGCGGGTGAGAGTCTTGGGCGAAGATGGCACGGACGGCAAGTGCATCATGTGAACTGCTCTAGGATGTCCCTGTAATTTGGCATGTATACATATACATGTATACATACGATATGCATATGTATGTTGATTCATATGTATACGTGTATTATATATTATATACAGTATACATTGAGACAATAAGTTATGCATACATCAAATGCATTTATTGGCACCTTGCAGTGGCCAGGGATTCATATATAGAGTCCAGTTGCCCTATGGTAATCAAACATGGCAGGCCAAAATCCCGGAATTAACTGGAGGTTTTGTTTTGATGGGAAAATCATCTACCATCTGATTATTTAACATAGCCATGGAAAATCCATTGCTATTGGGGATTTAATGGAAAAAAAAATCTATAAATGAGCCATTTCCCATGGCTATGTTAAATAACCAGAGGGCATGTGTAAACGAGATCAAACCCTCCAAATCGAACAATCAAAAAACATCCGATGGCCCGCTTGGTTTTTGTGGATGCCATGCCATTTTTGGGGGAATTTCACATGGCCAGGTCGTCAAAAATGACCGCAGGATTTTTCTATACCTGGCCATACCTCTTTGAAATACCAAACCTGTCAGACCTCTTTGCCGCTGGGAAATCTCCAGGTCATCCGACAATGGGGAGTGGGATCCAAGAGGTCCAGCCGAGATTGCAAGACAAAAAAGCACGGAAAAACCACAATCAAATCATATGGGTTTGTCTGAAAATAGTGTACCCCTACACCCAATGGTTAATGATCATTATCCCTACTAAATGGCTATAATTGGGGGTATACCCCATTTTCAGACATACCCATATCAAATCAATCACTGTGTGACTAAAAAAGGCTATGGCGGCTATGCATCAGTCAATTGCTAGAAGAACACATCTTCGTTGAACTCTGCCGCAGAAAGGTTGAGTCGAACCTACCACCATTGGAGGGGAATGGCCACCGGTCATCTTCAGAAAGCAACAACGGATATGGAATATCATTGCTTTAGCCTGCACAGCAGAAACTTTTCAATTTTTTGGGTTTTTTTTCAACCGACCAATCAACATAGTCATATAATATATATATATACATATATACTCTACACATGTTTTGTCCTCAATTTTGCTGGTTCTCACTAGACCTAATGTCGCCGCGTCCATCTTTCATGTTTCCAGTTTGTCCTGCAGCCTTTTCGTAGTGCTTCTGTCTCAAGTTGTGACTTATCTTCATTGTTTTTTGATTCGTAGACTCATCAGGGATCATTGCAAGTCGCTCGAAATTGGACACATCTCCAAAATATCCGGAGTTTGTTTCAAACATGATCTTGGCATGGCTGAAAAATGTGGTACCAATGGGTCCGCCAAAAACTGCACTTTTTAGGATCTCACACCATCCAAGTTTAGGGGGTTGATGATTTTGACTCATGTCCATCTCCATATGGACTGAACCAACATGGAGATGGCTTACCAACGTGGAACCAAATTAATTATGAAGCCTAGAGGCCTAATGACATATGGATTTGTCCGAAAATCAACTTTAAAAATACAGTTGTGATGCCTTGTCGACACATCTCCCCCATGAAACTACCATTTCATAAATTTCATAGGTATGAAATCATGTGTTTTTTCTAGCTGGTTGGCAAATATCCCTGTTTATCGCCAAATATCAAATATTAAACTACCCGTCAAAAGACAGCACTAGAATTTCACCCATTTTCAGACTATATTCCAGCTATAAACCTCCATTTTTTGATTGGGGATTTCCATCCATCACGCCTCAAATTCCAACGTCGCCAGGCCCGAAAAATCCAGCGAAGCGCGGGCAGCCTGGAACGGTGCCAAGAATATGACTGGTGGGTACCCTCTGGTAATTTAACATAGCTATTGAAAATTGCTATTTATAGTGGATTTTCCCATTAAAAATGGTGTTTTTTCCATAGCTATGTTAGTTTACCAGAGGGTAACAACCTTCAACATACACTTGCAAACGTGATCATACAGCTGTTATGGTCACAACTCACAAGGATGGACTATCTGAAACACAACAGGCTACGGAAGGGTCTTTTTTCATCCCTCAAATCGGGTCTTCACGGAGGACTTATGATGAACAAATTCATGGGCCAACTCAGCATCATAATGAATGCCATGTTCGGTGGTTATCCACAAATGGAAACATAGAAGTGCATGTGTACATACATAAATCATGTGAACGCGCATATTCATTTAGTACATACACGTGATAAAACATAAATGGATATATGCATGCATGGATGTGCGTATCTATGTATCTATGATCCACTGCATATATATATATATATCCATGTATCTATGTATCTATGTATCTATGTATGTATGTATGTATGTATGTATGTATGTATGTATCTATCTATCTATCTATCTATCTATCTATCTGTCTATCTATCTATTTATCAACCAATCAGGCAATCAATCAAGCAATCAATCTACTCTGTCTAATCTAATCTAGTATGTCCTTTTCTTATCTTATCTTAGTCTATCTTATCTATCTATATTCCTATCCATCTATCGAATCGTCTGATATAATCTATTCCACTCTACGTACTCTACTCCAATCTCATCTCGGTCTCATCTCATCTCATCAAATCTCTCCGTCTGTCTGTCTGTGCGTCTGTCTGTTCGTCCGTCCGTCTGTCCGTCCCCCTGTCTGTCTCTCTGCCTATCTGCCTATCCTTCTAGCTGTCTACCTGTCTAGCTGTCTATCTGTCTGTCTGTCTTTCTGGCTATCTGTCTGTCTGTCTATCTATCTATCTGTCTATCTGTCTATCTATCTATCTATCTATCTGTCTATCTATCTGTCTATCTGTCTATCTGTCTATCTGTCTATCTGTCTATCTGTCTGTCTGTCTGTCTTTCTATCTATCCATCTACCTGTCTGTCTATCTATCTATTGACAGGTCTGGACCATAGTTGGGTATCCAAGAAATTGGAGCCTGTCCCGGATGGCTGTGGAGTGGCAGGGGCGAGGCAGCTTGAAGCAAGTGCAGCCTGCACCACTGGTTTTGGAAAGCAGCTTGAAGATGGGTTTATTTAAGGGACAAAATGAAACACATGGGAAATTAAACTGCAAACATGTTGACTCAAGAAAAAATAGAATTTGAACAGCATCAATTGGGGGTAGGTACCTTGGAGATTTGGTCCGCAAATGTGAAAATCAGTGATTTGGTCTTGGAAAGATCTACAGGAAACCATGGTCTTACAATCCCGAAAGGTGGCCCTTTCCGCTTTCTTTCCCTGAACTAGTTATATAATTGTGGGTTGTGGGAGATCGTGGTTGGATTTTACAGATTCCACAAGTGGTGAGCCCAGGATGATCCAAACCAACCACCGGGATGTCCCCAAGATGCCCCTTTTTGGCGGTTGATTTCCTGTCTACCCATCATTGGACCATCATTCATCCCTCGTCTTGCTGGGAAATGGCAGCAGACCCCTCTTTTTTGACGTCTTTTGCCCGTCGCAATCCAAGAATTTCACATGGAACCCCAAAACTGGTCATGTGCAAGTTGGAATGTTGCTTTGCAACCACAAGTTTCTGCTGCACCTGCTAGAGTTCTCTTTTCACCCAGCTTTTGATGGTGGCTCGAGTTTAACCAGCAAAAATGTGGATTCAACCGAGTGAGTGAAGGAGAACCAAATCAACTTGGCGATACACTGGAAAACCACGGGCAAGTCAATGTGGAAAATAACCAACTGCGGGCGAGATTGACTCACTCAACCCACATCTTTGGCGCTTTTTCGTCGCTATCCTCTGGTATTTCTCAGCCAAGTTAGATGATCAAGGCCACTAATATCCCTATTTTCGGTGGCTCAAATCCCCATTTCTTCTGGTTCAATCCGCCTTTATCTCCCCATTTCTGCCGCTGAAAAAATTCCTTCTGTCCACTTCTGTCAAAAATAATATCCCCCAATTGTCCTACGTAAACTTACTATTTCTGCTGGGCAAGATCCCCATTTCTGTCAAAATGATGTCCCTCCAGAAAGAAAATTAATAGTTTCAGATCCACACAAAAATTGATGATATCTACCCCTAGAATCATGTGATTTATCAAAAAAAAACATTATTTACCCCAAATTCCCAGGTCACGCCTCCCAGGCTCCGCATCGGCCAAGACGGCCTTCGACGTTTGCGTTTTTAGGGAACCCTTTCTGGGCTGAAAAAACGCGGAGCTTGTTTGGCTGGATCGTATCCCTTTTATTCGGCGAAGATGTGTATTTTTTGTTGTGGTTTAAACTCTCCAATATTCCCATTTTTCAGTCAGAATTTCAAAGTCATTCTTCCAAGCATTTGATATTGCTTAAGCCATACCACTTGCTGTGATCCTAAGTTTGACGAAAACTCATGTCCCAAAATTTGACACTCAACAAGGGGCATGGCAGAATGCAGGTTTCCAAGTTTCCATGGGCACAGGTGAAAAATTTGCCCATGTGTTCTGCCACCGACCTACCCGAAAGGTACATGGAACATTTTCCCAACAGATTCTTCTTAAGTGGTGGGATTTCTTGATAGGAAAATGAAATATATCTTCAAAAAATTGCCTAAAGTCAAAAGTCAGCTGCAGGTCAGGTGGATTTTTCGCATGGTGCAGGGCACTAAAAACTTGGCATCAACTCTGGGCCGGTGCCTTGTGCAGCTGGTTCAGAGCATGACCTGCATAAGCTGCGATTTTTTCAAGGCAGGATACCCCGAAATCCAATGGTTGTTACTATAATACATTAAAATTGTCATTAGGAGCTATAGAAAACGCAATTTTCAGACACAAAACTCGGTCATGTCGGTTCAGGGCTCCA